ATATTATTTTATTTTGCCCTCAGTTCTACTAAGGTAAGCAGGGAATATGTTGTTATGACCATTTTATGGCAATGAAAACTAAAAGCACGACTATGTCAATACATATGTTCAGCAAGGTACGTCTGCTCTCTGACGAGTAAAACTCACTTAATTTGGATGAGTACAGTTCACATTCAAAGAAATGACAACCAGACCGAAGATATAGTAAACATTTAAAATGTTATATCCTTGTAAAATGGGAAGAAAAGTACCTGCATCAGGACCCAGTGGAATTGTCTTCTAGGCGGCTCCGATTGGAGCGGATTTAGTAACCACTACTGCAGTTCTGCGGCCGAGACGCGGGGTGCCGCTGTCGGCTAGTACTGAGCGAAGTGAGGGCTCTTGACGAAAAGGAATCGCCATCAGGCCGAGGAATCGGAAGAACCGTGCACTCTCCGGCTCTCGGCAGAGAAGCTAGCTATCAGAGAGTTTGTCTGCCAAGACAAATCAAGGAATCACTCTTGCTCAGAGAATTCTTGGGATTATTTAGGGATCGATCGCTGCTCCTCGGAATCAGTAAGGAAAACGCTCAGAAAGCGGGATGGGAAACCGCTGGGGACCGCAGGGCCAGGCTGGGCGGAGGCGAATGCCCTTTCTCCTCCTGTTGCCTTTGTTCTGCCCGGCGCTCGCCGAGCATATCCGCTACACGATTCCCGAGGAGCTGGCCAGGGGCTCGCTGGTGGGGAACCTCGCCAAGGATCTGGGGCTTGGTGTGCGAGATTTGCCTACTCAGAACCTGCGGGTTAGTGCCAAGAAGAAATTCTTTACAGTGAACACCGAGAACGGGGACTTACTTGTGGGCGACCGTATAGACCGAGAGCAGATTTGTGGCAAGAAGTCAACGTGCGTTCTGGAATTCGAAATGGTTGCTGAAAAGCCTTTGAACTTTTTTCATATAGCCGTGGTGATTCAGGATGTCAACGACAACCCACCGACCTTCAGCCAAAATACCACAGAACTGGAAATCAGTGAACTGGCCCTAACTGGAGCCACCTTTGCCTTGGAATCCGCACAAGACTCGGATGTAGGGGTAAATTCCCTGCAGCAGTACTACCTCAGCCCCAACCCACACTTCTCTTTGACCCAGAAAGAGAACCCTGATGGCACTATGTACCCGGAACTGGTACTGAAGGCTCCCCTGGACAGAGAAGAGCAGTCCTGCCACCACCTGGTCCTCACTGCTGTGGATGGGGGTGAGCCTGCCAGAAGCTGCACTACCCAGATCAGAGTGATTGTAGCAGATGCAAATGATAACCCCCCAGTGTTCACCCAGGACACCTACAGGGTCAGTGTTCCAGAGAACCTGCCAGTTGGCTCCTCTGTGCTAAGAGTGATGGCCACTGACTTGGATGAAGGCATCAATGCCAAGATCACCTACGCTTTCATCAACATTGGTAAGGCAGTGAGACAGCTGTTCAAGCTGAACAGTGAAACAGGGGAAGTCTCCACTGGTGGAGGACTGGACTTTGAAGAGAGAGAGCGCTACACAATTGGGGTAGAAGCAAAGGATGGTGGACGTCACACAGCACATTGTAAAATACAGATAGATATTTTGGATGAAAATGATAATGCTCCTGAGATAACCCTGGATTCTGAATCGAAACATATACAAGAAGATGTAGAGCTGGGGACTGTTGTTGCCCTGATCAAAACACATGATCTGGATTCTGGCTTTAATGGGGAAATCCTATGCCAACTAAATGGAAACTCCCCGTTTAAAATAGTTCAAGATACAAAAAATACATACAAGTTGGTGACAGATGGAGCCCTAGATCGAGAGCAGACTACGGAATACAACATCACCATCACAGCCACCGACAAGGGCAAACCTCCCCTCTCCTCCAAAACAAGTGTCACGTTAAACATCGATGACGTCAACGACAACGCCCCGGTGTTCCAGCAGCCAGCCTACCTGGTCCACGTGCCAGAAAACAACCCGCCCGGGGCCTCCATCGCGCAGGTCAGCGCCTCCGACCCCGACCTGGGCCCCAACGGCCAGGTGTCCTACGCCATCGTGGCCAGCGACCTGGAGGCACGGGCGCTGTCGTCCTACGTGTCCGTGAGCGCGCACAGCGGGGTGGTGTTCGCGCAGCGCGCCTTCGACCACGAGCAGCTGCGCGCCTTTGAGCTGACGCTGCAGGCGCGCGACCAGGGCTCGCCCGCGCTCAGCGCCAACGTGAGCCTGCGCGTGCTGGTGGGGG